GTGGAAAGTCACCACTCCCGAATGAGTTTGCGCGAGAGAACGTAATCTTTTAGTTTTAAGTCGGTTTGAACAATCCAGATATGCGCAAGTAAGTACCATTTTGATTAGCCGTCGTACCTACAATGACTGTGCACTGTGTAAACAATGAGTGACGTATACGCACGAGAGATCACTTCCGGCGCTTGCGTAAACTACGCCAGAGCGCGTACACACCTCACGCACCGGATGCCGTGCGCGCGCCCAAAGACAGTTGGACATAGTGGTGTATTAGAGGTAAAAAATGATATAAATACTGTTCGGTTTCTGGCACAAACCGATCGTTTCGTGTCTTAGGACATCAATGTGTCGTCACGAGCCGCAGGGTTTAATTTGGATTTGTCTGTGCATGTTTTTTTTACTCTCATAGATTTTGTTACCATTGCCATGCATTATACGACTGATAGACTGCAACGGCTGGAGTTAAAAATCTCCGTTTGTGTTCTACTGAAGAAACAGTCACCTACATCGTGGATGCCCTGGGGGTAAGCAGATAAACATCACATTTTCATTTTTGGGTGAACTATCCCTTTAAGCTCCAGAAAGAGAAAAAAAAAGCACTTTTGAAGGCATAAAATTAAACCTTTTAAACTGTTATTCACTGAAAAATTTAACCTTAAATGACATGTAGCTGAGTAAATAATGACAGAATTTTCATTGCTTTGGGTTTAATTATTAGAAGGAGAAACAAGGCAATGACAGCACGAGGAAAAGCAAATGTGAAAACTAACATAAGAAATAAAATTAAATGAAATTAACAAAATCAAAAACCTGCAAATAAATAATTTAATTAATAATTAAATAAACTGCCAAATGTGAATAAAATAAGCAAATCTGGAAACTTGCAATAAATGAATTAATAAATACATTTAAAATATAAATGAAAAAACAAACAAAAACAAATCCAAAGCATGCAAATAAAACAAAATTCTTCTTTTTTGGAAACTCTGATTGTATACAAAAAATCTTTAGGCCTACATCTGACATGATTCACTGATGTACATGAAAAATATGCATCACATTAATTTGAATAGTTTGTTTATGTTAAAACTCTGCAATTCAAATGCATGAAAATGTTGTATGCAATTCATATTAGGGTTGCAAAAAGGTGGAAAATTTCCAGTAAATTTCGAATAAACAAATGTGCAAGCATGCAAATAAATACATTAATTCATTTTGACAAAAGTAGAAATTCATACAATTAATAAAAATATAATAAAAACAAATGTGCAAACCCCCTGAAAATTAAATGTGGAG